GAGGAGAGCGTCTGATTAAGCGTTAATTCTGCTCCGAGAGGCCTCTCTCCCTGGCTCTCGACGCCCTTGTCCAGGAGTTTTCCTTTTCCACTAACTCTTCTGATGGTGGGAAAGTTGGCGCTGGAGAGTAAGCCTCCTTTGTGGTCCCATCAGCTTTTCCAGGTCACGATCTGCTCCTTACAGATAGGAATGCAAACGGACATCTACATCTCAAATAGTCACAGACTTTCCTTCCTGACTTGAGGTCCTGGTGGCAGTAGAACTCTCCGAAAACCTAGCCAGCCTCTTACCCCCTAGGCCAGTCTCATGTGAGCATATTCACAGCCCTTGTGTCAAAATAATTCTGATATCCATGCCATGCCTTTAATTTTGCACACCACCACCTCTGCCCGGCCCTTTGCTTTCCTCCCACTCTTACTCTTTCTCTTAAGTTAAGTGCAGGTACCTTGGTCCTCTCAGCTTTCACTGGCAGAGCCACGCGTTACTGTCTTGTCCAGTCAGTAGCAGTCAACGGATCAGACATGGCGGGTTTTCACCTTCATTGTTAGTTCAAGGCCCATCTTCCCTGCCTGGCCCATAAGGCCCTCGAAGGCAGGAGCTCTCCTGTTGGCACAGTTCTGGGTCTCGAGTGGTTTGCCAGGCCTGACACAGTGCAACAAGGTGATGATGAGTGAGCGGATTAGTCAGGAAAAGGCTGGGTCTGGTCAGTTGAATTCCCTGTCTCAGAAGGTTTCTTTAAATGGAAACTCAGTGGAAAGGATAAACATGGGATTTGTTGAGAATTACTCAACTATGTAAAAGTAGATACCACAGAGTACCCTGCGCCTAAGCCAGTATCTCTGCCCATCCCGCATTGAGGTCAGGACAGTGCCCTCTGGACCCTGCCCTCCCACATCCGAGTCCTCTCTGTTCTAAGGGTATCTCTCTCTCACTGACTTTGCAGCATCATAGCTCCTTCCTGCACCTCCTGCCCTGCTCTTGATGTGGCCTCTCCTCATTCTGCTCCTTTTGCCTCAGGGCTTCCCCATCACTTTACCCAGTTTCCACTTTGCTGCTGGCTTAGCTCATCTGTTCCCAGGACCTTAAAAAGCCATATCCATGCCGAGGATTCCCACATGTTATTTCCAACCCTGAACTTCCCTTCTAGGCACCAGATTCTTGGAGCCACCTGCCCGTGGGATATCTCCTCTTGAAAGCAGCATTTCAAATTCAGCATGCCTCAGTGGAAGGTGATTTTCCAACACCTCGGGTAACGGCCCTGTGCCCTCCTGGCTCAGCGAACACCACCACCAGCTTCCGAGCACAGCTCCCTCCCCCTACATGCAGGCTCATGAACTTTTAACTGCAGGTGATTTGTGACCATAAGGAGAATCTGTAACTCATATGGGAAACAAGTATCCACAGCACAGACAAAGGTACAGATTCATATCCAAATAAGCAGGAGGTCAGAGAGTTTTAAAGTTTCAGGGAAATAACAGTTTTGGCAGGCTGGGAACAACAGCAGAAGAGGCCAGGACAGGGAACTCGGCTGCTGAGTTAGTTCCATGTAGAAAACTGGAGTTTAGAGTGGCTGTTTCCTCGTCAGTCTTAAAGGGATATAAACAAGACTGAAATGAGGTGAGCGTCACCAGATGATAATAAAGACATGCTCGGTCCTGGGGTCCTTTATAGAAACTCGACCCCAGGGTTGCCTGCTTTGGAAAGAGGCAGTAAACACATTTAGAGCAGCCACCACCTGCCTAGTCAAATGGGAGAGATGGCCAAATAGGAAATGCTCCCTGCAAGTGGACTAACTTGACCTTATACTTATTTAGGCAAATGCATCACTTTCAAAATGAAGGGAGGATTTAATTCCATCAAACAGGTTGAAAACAAGGACACTGAGACAAGGACATAGGGACACAAGGACACATTGTTTTAATATGTTTCCCCTCTTACTGGGGTTTATTTCTTGACACACTTAGGAATTCTACTAATGGAAATTGTCTCTGCTTCAGATACTTAAAAGCAAAACAAAGTAACACAACACAAAAACAACCAATGGTCTTCTGCATGGAGGGTGCCCCTCCCTGCGGTGACCCGACCCTCCTGCCCACTACGTTGTGGTGGCATGCCCACTCCAGCTTTGCTTGGGGCCTTTGCTAGGTTGTCGCTGGCTGAGCACGACAGAGATGCTTGGCTCTCTGGCAGGCTCACCATAAAGCAGAGCGCCCCTGCCGCTGCACATGTTCCCCAGGGATGCGGGCTCCTGCCGGCTGCTGCTCTCCAGCTGTCAGTGCGGACCTGGGTGTGGATGCCGTGTAAAGGAGCGCCCAGCCTGCACTGATCTTTAGCAGTCACGTAGTTGACTGTGATATCCCTGCACAGCCAGAGAAAACAAATAATGGTTTGGGGTCATATGGGTGTATTCACTCTAGAATTCATTACTTAGGACCCATGTTACAAAATAGGTAGCTGTGATAAATCCTTGAGCAACTTAACCATTTGTTATAATATTGAAGAACTCAGAAATTGATGAACATTTGACTTACCAAGACCCCTATGCTCATGAGTGGTGCATATCACTTGGAAGTGTACAAAATTCCTTGGCAGTACTTTTAGGCTTAATATCATCTTCAAGCCAGGTGATCTGTCTTTGAAATAAAAAGAAAAAAATTTTACTTAAATTATATTTGTATTTGTCTCATGACACTATAGAAGATGTCATTTTCATAGCTTTTTATTTTCCAATAGTTTACTTATGATTGATAACAGAGCTAACGAGTAATTATTTACAAATTCTTAAAGACAGTATCAAATGCTAAGCACAAGGATATATATGAAAGGAAACATCAAATTTGCTTATAAAGTTTTCATACCTGTGGGCTGGACCTTCCAGACCTTTTGACTATCCAGTTTATAACCTTCGATGTGCTAGTTTCAGCCATTGCCCATTATCTCACCTGATACACTGGTGGTCACAAAAGAACAGTCCGCAGGTTTTGATTGAATGTGAAGAGGTCCGCACTAAGAAGTGGCCGTAAAAGCCAGCTGAGGGGATATTACATGTCACTGAGCCCGCTGCCTCTCCATCAGTGAAGCTGTGTGTCACTGACAGCACGCCCTCATTGGGTGGATCTAGTGCGTTACTTACAGCAATGTGGTTTTGCTTGGTTTTGTTTTTAAACAGAACTACTGGGGATTGAACCCAGGACCTTGCGCATGCTGAGCACATGCTCTACCCCTGAGCTATACCTGCCCCTCTCCTCCATATGTTTTTTTTTTTTCTTTACATGACTGAAACAAGTTTCTTTAGAGCTGGAAGCCGGGGTCACACAGTTTGGGCCAGAGTGGCCAGGCAGTGCACATGATGTGAGCTTTGAAATCAGGGTAGATGCAAAAGTTCAGACTTAGGGCCTTCAAGGACCTTGAACCGTGGGGCCACTTTAGAGCCCCATTATGACCCTTAAAGATAATGAATTTCAGAATCTCATTTTCCTCTTTGTTATATGGCAGGAATTACTCCTCAGTCCCCAGAAGTTGCAGGGGTTGCTGGTGCAGTGAAGTCCTGGGGTCCGGCCCCAGCATGCCAAGGGGAAACAGAGCCTCCTTTAGACTCGATTTGGCAGCTGTGTGGTCCTCGCACCCCCAAACCCGGATTCCTGCCTTCTGGGGTTCAAGCCCAAACACTTGTTTCTAGGGGAAGAGTCGACAGCATCCTCTCCCCACGCATTCCCAAGGCCAAGGGGTTCTGGTGCCAGAAGAAATGAGTCAAAGCAGTGGAAACCCCTGTAAACTCGGAGCTGGGCCCACCAGCGCTCGGAGGAGGGGAGGGGACGGGATGGGAAGGTGGGAGATGGTCCTCCAGAGAAGAGAACAGGGTGGGGGTGGGCGGGGCACTGAGAGTGCGGGGTTAGCAGCCACAAAGCAGCCTTGTGGCTAACTCACGCTCCATGTAGGAGTCTGAGAAATGTCAGGGAGATGATCTGAAGAGGCCACAAGTTGGAGATGGAGCCTTAAGAGAATGGCTCAAGCACAAAACTATCAATTTATAAAAAGATGAAATTATATCCCTACATTATGCCTAATTTAAAAAATTAACCCTAGATGATTCAAGGATTTAAACATTAAGATAGAAACTCCAGCATTCTTAGTAGAAAGGAGAGTGGACGTCTCTAGACCTCAGGGCAGGGAAAGATTTCTTAAGCAGGACAAGGAGTGTCTGATGAAGGCTGATGAATCTGACTATATTAAGATTAAGAACTTTATTCATCAAAAGACACCTTGCGGGAGGGTGTAGCTCAGTTGCACAGTGCGTGCTCAGCATGCACAAGGACCTGGGTTCAATCCCCAGTACCTCCATTAAAAGATGCATAAGTATCCCACTTGTTGGCACGTGAAGCTACCGAGCCCATAAAAACTGGCAACACCATGCCTCGCGGCCTCTCTCGCTCCCTTGTCTTCCCAGATAGCATGCACTCTGTCTACAGAGTCTGTATCTACTCTTACTTTAACCTGAGCGCCCAACCCCCACATCTCATGGCCTTTCTCTTGCCTCCTGAAACATGTAGTATGTATCTCTCTAAATCAAAAAAAGATAAATAAATAAATAAATCTAACTACCTCCCTCCCCCAAAACAAACAAGACACCTTAAAGAAGGTGAAAATCAATTTAAACTAAAAGATATTCACAATACATACAGTTGAAAAAAAATTAGTAAGAAACTGAGACTTACTTTATAACCCCAAGACCTTTTTTACAACTTGCACGCATTATTATGTTGATTTTTAACATTAAATTGGAGAAACAAAAAGATTCAGTAAAGTTGGATTCATTATCTCCTCTCAGATAACTGTTGGAGCCTAGATGATGTAATGAGGGAATTCAGCGCATTAAAATTATCCCCTTTATGTAAATGACTGACACTCTCCATTTACAGTTTTAAAAAAAAAGCAAACACATCATAACTAATTATAAGAACAAAACTGTTTTCATATCAGGTGCCATTTATTCTAAAACAACTGCCAAAGAATATTTCTAGAAATGCACTGGAGAAAGTAGCAGAACATACATGGGAGACACACACCAACTTCAAGACAATGAATCCCTGTGGGGATGGAAAGGAAAGATGCTTTAGTGGTATGTATTCTAAAGAAGAGAGAAGTGAGGCAACTGTGGAAAATGCTAACATTTTAAGTGGGGGGGGTGGTACATGAATCTTTGTTATACAACTGTTTTGAATGTGTGAAATTTTTCATAATTTAAATTAGGGGTGGAGGGTCCAGGGGTAGGTAATTAGGTTGGTTTATTTATTTATTTAACAGAAGTCCTGGGGATCTGAACCCAGGGCCTCGTGCATGCTTAGCACATGCTCTACCACTAAGCTATAGCCTCCTCCCCCATAATTTAAATCCTTACTTTAAAATTAAGCACACTGGGAAGAAGTGTGCATCAACACTAGTTGTCTCAGGATATTGGAAACAGGATTTGACTACACCAGCTCGTTTTCTAGAATGACCAACTCTGATGTTTATATTTTAAAATATGACACACCTGTTTGAATGATGATGAATTGGTAACAAAGCAGAGAATTAGAAGAAGATCACAGGTTGCAGAAGACACAGGATGTAGACTCCGCGAGCCTGCCCTCCACCTGCCCCACCTGCCGACCCTGCAGAAACCTTCATGCTGGCACTGGTGACTGCCGCCCCTTTCCCCCTTGGTAACCGTAAGTTTGTTCCCTAAGTCCCTATGTGAGTCTTTCTGTTTTCTAAATAAGTTCATTTGTGTCTTTATTTTGATTCCACATATAATGATACCATATGGGATTTTTCTTTTTCTTTCTGATTTGCTTCACTTAGAATGATGAGCTCCAGGTCCACCCATGCTGCTGTAAAGGGCATTACTTTATTTACTTTTTATGGCTGAGTAGTATTCCATTGTGTACGTATACCACATCTTTATCCATTCATCTGTCACTAGATATTTAAGGTTGTTTGCATGTCTTGGTTATTGTAAACAGTGCTGCTGCAAACACTGGGGTGCATGTGTCTTTTCAAATTATAGTTTTCTCTGGATACATTCCCAGGAGTGGGATTATTTATTTATTTTTAATGGCAGTACTGGGTACTGAGCCCAGGATCTTGTGCACACTAAGCAGGCACCCTGCCACTGAGCTGTACCCTGCCACTTTATTGACTTGAATTGTCTAAGAGACCATTGTCCAGCCCTGTCTCTTTGTAGCAGTAGATTGAGAAGAGAGGCTGGTCAATGGCCAAGCCCACAGACATAGCCTGGTTACAGATCCCGGTGGGGGGAGTGAGGAAACTGCTTCTCTTTCTCATTCCTGAGACAGGGGTTACATTTATAAGAACAGTTTATCTCTACTTGAGGGCAATGCTGCTTTTTTTAATGTGTTAATAAAAACATTACCAATTGGAGACGGGGAGGGTATAACTCAAGTGGTAGAGCACATGCTTAGCATGTATGAGGTCCTGGCTTCAATCCCCAGTACCACCATAAAAAAAAAATAAATGAATGAATAAATAAACCTAATTACCTCCCCCCACCAAAAAAAGTAAAAACAAAACAAAACATTACAAAGTGGTCAACAGGATCATGAATAGAGCAAATTAAAGCTTTAATAAAAATTCTTAGGGGGAGGTAATTAAGTGTACTTATTTATTTTTTTAATGGAAGTACTGGGGATTGAACCCAGGGCCTCATACGTGCTAAGCATGTGCTCTACCACTTGAGTTATACCCTCCATGCGGGGCAAGCTAAAGATTTTGAAGGACATTTCATTTCCTCATCCCCCCTCCTCTGCCCTGTGGGATGCAAGTTGAGTAAATCCTGTTTTGGAAGGGAGTGCACGGCTCCGGACTTGATGTCCTGCTCTTCAGATTGTTATTTATCAAGCCCTTTTTCTCATATATGGGAAGAATTGTCACCTGGGGAATGGCCGTGGGTCTCAACCCGTGGGCTCCGGCTAGTTCAAGGACTTCCTGGTACAAAGCGAGTTGAAACCTTGGCTCCACAGAAGGGCAGCAGTCACCACGGTAGTCTTTTATGATTTGTGACAAAAGCAAAGCAAAAAGAATGACATCAACGACCAACAACAAAAAACACCCCGAACTCCCTGGCATGTTCATCATCCTGGGCAGCTTTATTCTCTGTAAATGTCCCTCTTTGTTGGACTTTTTCATTTATTAAAATATCTCCCCAGAGGGGAGAGGGTACAGCTCTGTGGTAGAGCACGTGCTTAGCTTGCATGAGGTTCTGGGTTCAATCCCCGGAACCTGTGTTAAAATTTTTTTAAATAATAATAAATATTTCCCCAGATTTCATTATCGTCTTCATGGATCACAGTTTAGGAGACTGGCAGGGAGGAAGATTTACTTTCCCGTCGCACCTAAAAAGGATGTAATTTATTTAAAACAAGACTTTTCCTCGAACAAGAGGTGATTTTTTTTCTTTAATGTGGTGAGTGTGCGTTCCACACTGTCCCCGCACGTGCTAGGTAAGCCAACCACACTGCTAAAACCGAAGGCGGGAAACTCACGGGACTTATAGTCTGCCTGTTACACAGAAGCCTATTACTCTGTTTAGGGATTTAAAAAGATACCTTGAGATTGGAGGATTAACTAAAAATGTAGTTGTCGTTCAAATAGACTTTCTTTCTTTGTAGGAAGGGCACAAAGTTATCCAATTAATGTTGTATTTTAAACACACACGTACAAATATAAACACTATGGGAAGGTATAAGATGGCAGATAATACTCCTCTTTCTAACTAATCTTCGTAACATACTCAGACTTCTTTTTCTTTCCCATATCTGGGCATATAGATTTAACTCTATTAAACTGTCTATTATGAAAAATAGATCAAAAGGAGGTAGAGAAACAGTGTAATGAACCCAGTCTATCTATTGTTCAGCTTCAAAATAACCAGTAATCTTGTTTGTATTATATTTCCTACACTTAGATTGTTTAGAGGCAAAGTCTAGGTGTACCATTTCATTTGTAAATATTTCCTAATCACCTTTGACCCTTGACCACCACCAGGATTAGGAGAACCGACCCGCCGCACAGTGGAAAGTCCACTGATAACTCAGAGTCACCCCTCTGTATACCAAGTTCCTCCCTGCCTGCCACTCAGCAGGTGGAGTCAGCCAACTCCCAAGCTTACTTACTACTGAAAAAAATCTACGCACAAGGGGACCTGTGCATTTCAAACCCGTGTTGTTAAAGGGTCGGCTGTATTTAATTTTACTACTAGATCTTAACGTTTTACAGCAGTGTTAGATTTATAGAAAAACTGAGCATATAGGAGAGTTCCATATTATATCTTCAGTTTTCCCTGTCACTGCATCCTTTATAGAGTGTATAGTACACACTGGTAATAATCTTTAAAATCAACAACCAATAGTGACACATTACTATGAAGCAGTCCCTACTTATTCCCATTTCCTTAACTTTTACCATCTATTCCTTTTCTGTTCCAGGACCCCCACATTGCCTGTCATCGTCACCACCTCCTTAGGCTCCTCTTGGTTGTGACATTTTCCCAGGCTTCTATAGGTTTTGATGACCTTGACAGATTTGAGGTGCACGGGATGCCCCTCGTGGAAGTCGTGTAAGGTTTTCGCCAAGATTGGAGTGGGATTATAGGTTCTAGGCAGTAAGATCAAAGAGGTCAAGGACCATTTTCATCACATCATGCAAGTTTTCCTCTCTCCAAACAAGTTGTTTCAGGTATTGGAGCGTTCGTTTTCCAGAAAGAGGTGTTGAATGGTGGGGGCAGGCACTCAGCTGGGGCTCAGGGTCCCACCGCCCGCTCCTTGAGTGGCTGCAGGTTCCCCCGAGGTGGGCAGGTGTGGTTCCTAGGGCTGGGGGAGACCTCAGCCTGGAGGGAAGGGCCTTCTAGAAGACATGGAGGCTTTGAGGATGGTGGAGTCTTCCAAGGCCACGTTGGTTCCGATCTTCCGCCGCCCCGCTTCATCCCCTGCTCCCATTCCCAGATTCCCTCCGCTTGGCACCCAAGTAGCCCCATCTGTGCAGCCGGCTAGAGACCCTGGCAAACTCCAGCCTAGCGGTCCTGGGGGTTGTTCCAGGCCCCTTAGCCCGCAGAGTTGGTGACTGACAGCGCCCCTGCTCGGGGATCGCTGGTTCGGAGAGGCGCGGGACGCGGCGGCTGCGGTGGGACGCGGCAGCCGCCCCGGGGATGCGGGACTGGGCGCGCGCAAGGGGCGGGGCGGGCCGGGCAGTAGGAGGCCGCCCTCCCCAGCTCCCTCTCTCCCTCCCTCCACCCCACGACCGCCAGATGCTGCTCCGGGCACTGGTCCGGTGCCTGGGGCTTCCTCGCGCCCTACGTCTGAGATAGATTCGAGAGGACAGGCAAGTCACAACCCAGAGATCCTCTACGCGGAGCTGTGGATGCTGCCCGTGCTGCTCGGTGAGTGAGCCGGGAGCCCGCGCCCCTGGATGCCCGCAGGTCGCATCCGGTCCGGTGCCGCCCACGTCACTCCTCACGGGTGGGGCTCTGTCGTGCCCCCGGAGTTCCCCAGAATCCTGGACCCTCCGTGGGCCAGTCTGGGCGGACTCCGACCCCGAAGGCCCCTTCCCTTCCTGACCCTGGGCCCCGAGGCTCAGCACCCCTCCCCTCCCCTCCGCAGGCCCGGGCGGCGAACTGATGACGGCGCTCCACCGGTGGCTCGGGGTCTCACTCGCGATGAGCGCGGTCCCAGGATGCGGAGTCCTGATCTGCATTATTGGACCGCCCTTCTACCAGTGTGTTACAATGCTCCTCATCGTGGCGATGTCTTTCCAGCTTCGGATTGGCAACAACAGAGGTAGGGGTTTCAGGGGCCCCAGCAGGGAATGCTTCCTCCGCCCAGGAGCCCGGGAAGGTGGATTTCAGTTCTTTAGTCTGAGGGCCTGGGGTAGTTCCGAAAACAGCCACCAAGTCTTAAAAGCCCCTGGGTGTGGGTCCGGGCTCCTGAGCAGGGAGAGCGAGAAGAGTTTGGGAAGGAGTCGGTGGCTACACCCAAAGGTGAAAATCTAGCACATCTGTGCACTGTGGAGCGAGGGTCCTCGGAGCAGCATCTTTAGGGGATGTCTTCCGCGGAGTCTCTTGCAGGCCTGCCCTACCACTTAGATAACCAGGACAGCGGGTTTCCAAGCGTAGTAGTCCCCAGACCAGCAGAATCAGCATCACCTGGGAGCTTGTTCGAACTGCAAACTGGGGCGCCCACCCTGACCCATGGAATCGGAAACTAGGGGTGGCACCGAGTAATCTGTGTTTTAACACGCCCTCCAGGTAATTCTGATACGCACCGGAGTTTGAAAACCATCGCTCTGGGGTCATCTCCTCAAGGCCTGCACCCAACCAGCTGCTTTCTTTTTATTTCAGCCAGAGCTTGGAGTAGACGGGTGCTAAATTCTGCGCGGGCCTCGGGGCGCTCGGTTTAAGGCTGCGGCCGGTCCTCAGTCCCTTATTCAGACGTCCGCTGGTGGCGGACGTCACCACAGGGCGGCATTGCTGGTAGATGGAGGCCAGGAGGCTAAGGCTCCATGAAAGATGCAGATGACGATGGGTGTGGGGACCATCATCCTTAATTCTGTCACCTTCAATTTATCGCAAACTCGAGCTTTTAAGGAAAGTTTCAGTGGTTTTATAGTAAATGATCTTTATTGATTTCGTCTTTTTTGTTTTGTTTAAGTGAAAGCAAGTTTACTTAGACACACACTCCATAGAGAGTGCCAGTGGTCTCAAGGCAAGGGAGAGAACAACCCATTGGTTTCATCTTGGTCAATGTTCTTTCCAGGGTATGATGGGGAAAAGGAAAAAAGACCATTTCAAAAACTGGTTTCAGCTCCTCATAGTGTTAGGGGAGGGGGTGATGGAATCTGAGGAGTCCCCAGTACCCCGGCTCTGGAATCAAGGTGGCCTTTCCTGCCTAGGTCCCCACCAGGAAGAGGGGGAAGCATCAGGGAGGGGGATGCCTGTTTTGGGGGGTGCAGCCCAGCAGTCCAGGCAGGTGAAGGCAAACAACTGTTCCTTGGTTGGTGTACCCCCCCCCCCCGCTGGCTTTTCAAGAACAGTTCAGCTGTAGCTGTCAGCTCTTCGAAGCCAGTTTGGAGGGAATTGAATTTAAATGGAAACGCATGTGGAATATATCTAGTGGATGTGTTTGGTAAGTGAAGTTGATGCTCCTGGATGGTTAAACCTGGGTAATCTTTGAAGAGGTGGACAGAGAACAGAGAAATAGCTGGTGATGGAGAGGGCACTGAGTCAACAATGAGTTTATTTCCCCCTGTAGAACAGGGCTGGATGGTGGCTGGGTGTGATGCTGCGGAGGTAGAGGCTAACAACCTAGAGGCAGGTGGGGATGATAGCAGCCCTCAAGCCCTGTGAAAGCAAGAGGGAGACAAACCCAGGGCCCTGGAGGAGGGGCCGGCTTCTGGAAGGAGGAGCATATATAACAGGAGGCCCATAGGGCAGGACTCTGGGAGCCTTGTGGAGAGATTCCTTCTGCCTGAAGAGAAAAAATTCTCTCTCTTTTTTAATTGAAGTATAGTCAGTTTACAATGTGGTGTCAATTTCTGGTGTACAGCATAATGTTTCAGTCATACACATACATACATATATTCTTATGTATATTCATATTCTTTTTGTTATAGTTTACTACAAGATGTTAAATAGTTCCCTGTGCTATATAGTAGGACCTTCGCTATTTTATATATACTAGCAGTATGTGTAAATCTCATACTCCTAATTTATCCCTTCCCACCCCCTTTCCCCTCAGTAACCATAAGCTTGTTTTCCATGTCTGTGAGTATTTCTGTTTTGTAAGAAACTTCATTTGTCTTTTTTTTTAAGACTAAATACATAAGTGATATCATATGGCATTTTTCTTTGTCTTTCTGACTTCACTTAGAGTGATGATCTCCAGGTCCATCCATGTTGCTGCAAATGGCATTTTATTTTTTATGGCTGAGTAGTATTCCATTGTATATATACCACAATTTCTTTATCCAGTCATCTGTTGATGGACATTTAGATTGCTTCCATATTTGACTATTGTAAATAGTGCTGCTATGAACATTGGGGTTCATATATCTTTTCAAATTATGGTTCCCTCTGGGTAAAATGCCCAGCAGTGGAATTGCTTTATCAAATGGGAAGTATATTTTTAGCTTTTTTAGGAACTGCCATACTGTTTTCCATAATGGCTGTACCAAACTGCAAAGAATAGTCTAATTTACACCTTCCTTGACCTCTGATTACTTAATCTATGACTATTAATCAACATTTCTCTAAGGAAGAAACGTTAAATACTTGCATACTGCTCTCATACCTGATAAACCAAAACTTACACTTTTACAAGTGTAATTTGCTCCAATTTTTAAATGAATGTATATATTGAATGAAACTTGTACAATTTAACTAAATCACAAATCTGATAGATTCTCTTAAATGCTGAAAGTGGCTAGAACATTTAAAAAATATATTTGCTAACATCTGAGAGCTTCAGTACCAGGTCCTGTTCAGCTTTAGATATGTGATATTAATGATATTCAAAATGGCCCATGAGATAGATCCTCTGATTATGGCCTTGAAATTCAGACATGGAGAAATGAAGCAACTTGCTTACTTACAGTCACACAGGCAGCTGGGACTGGAGTCCAGGGTCCCATGCCATGTGCCCCTTTAGCATTGTAGTGAATACCAAATACATTGTAACCATTTATTAAAACGTTACAAAAATGCTAATATCTTTTATAGTAATCACTTCCTTGTTTTTGTTTGTAGTTTTATCATCTAAGCATTCGCTCCTACACGTTATATGTAAGTTTTACTTTATTTCTGAAAAAGTAGAAAAATACATATTGGATGATGTTGTGTCCAGTGCTATTTACTCAGCATGGTTTGTGAGATTGATCCATTTTGTTGCCTGTAGTTGTGTTTCATTCATCTCCCTGTTGTGTAGTCTTTTTTTCGTTTATTTTTTATTTTTAATTGAAGTATAGTTGGTTTACAGTCCTGTGTTCCTTGTTGTGTAGTCTTTCAGTGTATTTATGTTCGTATATATACATTTATATCACTAATCATTAATCCTGAAATTGATGGGCTTTTGGGTTTTCTCCAGTTTGGGCTAGTGTAATGAATATGACACTGAACAGTCTTGTGTATGTTTCTGTATTTATCAGCTCAGGATACAATAACAGAATAACACGTTTATTTTCTCATGGTTCTGGAGATTAGAAGTTCAAGTTCCAGGGAGCCACTGTGGGTGGCTTCTGGAGTGACCTCTGTCCTTGGTCTGCAGATGGCTGCCTTCTCTCTGGGTCCAAATGGCCTTGGATGAGCTGAGGAGGAGGAGTGGAGGGGTGGGGAAGAGAGAGGTTCTGGTGTCTCATCCTAGAAGGACACCAGTCCTGTCAGATTAGGGCTCCACCCTGAGGACTTCACTTAACCTTAATTTGGCCCCCTCTCCAGGTACAGCCCCACTGGGGGTGGGGCTTCTACAAAGGAACTTTGGGAAGGGATACAGCTCAGTCTGTAGCAGTCTCCCGGGGCACGCGCATGTAGTTTTGCCTTTTGCATTTAAAATTTAACTTAAGGTGTACGGTGTTTTATTGTGCTTTGCTTTATTTCACTTTTAGATACTGTGTTACTTTACAAATTACAGGTTTGTGGTAATCCTGCCTTGTCAGGTGATGGTCAGCAGTTTTTAGCAAGAAAGTATTTTTATTTATTTTGGGGGGGAATTAGGTTTGTTTGTTTGTTTATGGAGGGACTTGGGATGGAACCCAGGACCCGTGCATGCTAAGCAGGAGCTCTACCACTGAGCTGTACCCTCCTCCTACCAGAAAATACTGTTAAATTAAGGTGTGCGTGTCATTTTTTTAGACAACTCTCTTGCACATCTATAGACTACATTGAAGTATAGGGGTCCCTTTTACGTGCACTGGGAAGCCAAAACTTTGTGTGACTTGCTTTATTGCAATATTTGCTTTACCACAAGGTCTGGAACTGAACTCGCAGTATTTCTGAGGTCTGCCTGTACCTTGAATTTAATAGAACATTGTATTGAGTTAATTGCAGATTCCCATGCAGTTTTAAGAAATAGTCCAGAGTGGGAGGGGATAACTCTGTGGAAGAGTGTGTGCCTAGCAAGCACAAGGTCCTGGGTTCGATCCTCAGTACAACCATTAAAAATCAATAAATAAAAATGCAATTACCTCCCCCCAAATAAAGTAATAAATAAAAGTATAATAATAAAAATCCAGAAAGATTCTTTGTACACTTTTCCCGGCTTCACAGAATGGTGACATTTTGAGGAAATGTTGTAAACCGTCACACCCAGGACATGGCTACGGGCTTTCTTCCCTAGCTTCATTTGCACTCATTTGTGTGTGTGTGTGTGTGAATTAGGGTCTACACAGTTTTCTCACCTATGTAGGTCTGTGTGTCCACCGTCACAGGAAGATCCCCGATGTTGCCTTCTTTATAGCCACAGCTGCTCCCTTGCCCCCTCTCAGCAGTTGATTTTTGTATGACGTAGCGTCACATATGTTTCCATTTCTTTTCTAAGTGATCTGTATTCAGTGGCCCTGGCATCCTTTATTCACAGGACCGTCCTTTGCCCGCTTTCCCGAAGCACCACCCCTGCTGTAAATCGTCTCCACGTGTGTATGAGTCCACTTTACGGCTCTTCCATTCATTGGTCTGATTGTTTCTTCTCACGTCGGAACCACGCTGCCTTAATTACTACGGCACCTTTAAAAAGGTGTTGCTGTCTAGTAGAAAAAGCTCTGTTTCTTATTTTCCTTCTGCAAACATTGTCTTGGCTATTCTTGGCCCTTTCTACTTCTGACTAGTTTCCAAGGGGGGCGGTAGGGCTCAGTGGCAGAGCATGTGCTTAGCATGCATGGTGTGCTGGGTTCAGGCCCCAGTCCCACCATTAGAAATAAATAGACAAACCTAATTACCTTCCCCCCTCCCTGAAACAAGAAAGCTGACTAGTTTCGGAATGAATTTTCCACAGCAGGACCAGTTGACATCTCATTCTCAGAGCTAGAGGGAACTCACACTGTCGTTTCTTCTCTCTGACAAAAGGGGGCTTCAAGGCAGCAGCTGTGTGTTCCCCATCAATGTTGTCATGTTCATCTGACAACAGGATGGTTCTTACAAACCTTTGGCTCTATAACCTCCTGCCATGAAATGAGGAGTGAGAAAGCCAAGCTATGTCAAGTTTAGATTCCCCCCTCCCCTGTTCTGAATGTAATTAGGTGACAGGGCTGTAGAAACTAGTCACCTCTAGTGGAACTGAGCTGGGAGTGGCTGTTGGGAGCCTTGGG